CCTCGCCCGCAAGCCCGCAGCGGGCCGAGGGCCGGAGCCAATCGCAGCCCGCTGCCCCTGCGCACGCAGGCCCCGCCTCCCGGCCAGAGGCCAATCCTAGGCGAGCAGCTTGCCCGGCCCCGCACGCAGACCCCGCCTCCTGGACTTCGCACCGGGGCCAAGGCCCCCGCCCGCGGCTCAGTAAGTACACCTAGGCCCCGCCCTCATGTGCCACGTGACGATCCCTCGCCCCACTCATTGGTCTACAGGCCCTTACCCCCTCCCCCCGCCCCTTTCCACCGGCCGCGGGAAATCAAACGGGCTCGTCCCGCCCCAACCGCCACCTGGCCTTTGCACGAAGGGCGGGGCCAGGGGCGTGACGGCAGGGTTGCTGTTGACGACCAGGGCAAGCGAGGGAGGAAGGGGCGAGACCCTCAGCCTGGGTTGTGGTGGAGAGTACCCTTACGAGGCGAGCTGCGACCTCCACCCGATATGCGGACCCTACCTGGTGTAGACGCCTTCCCCTCTCCCACTCTGGATACCCTGGGGAGGACGTCCCCGTCCCAGCCCCCGGGACCGCATTGTCCACCCATAGGGCCTGCGGGGAAGCGAAGCCGAGCAGCTGCTAACAGTTGCTCTCACTCACCATCCGGAGCCCTCACTTTTATGTTATTTGCTTTTCGGGGATATTTTACATAAAATGCCCAGATCTCCAGTGTTAAGATTTGCTGAGTTTTCATCAATGCACCCTGTTACCAACACCCTAATCACAGCCCATTGGCCCAGGACGCTCTCGGGAACCCTTTCCTATCGGGATCCCGCCCTTCCGCTGCTTGTATTTCTACTGCTGCAGATTCAGGGTCTTCCACAAGCTGGGCGCCTTGGCCTGCAGCAGGCGGGCGTCCCTCTCCCAGCTTCCAGCCCTCAGCCCTGTCCCGCCTCCAGCGGACCAGGATTCGCTCAACTCTGGCCTTTTTTTCTTTCTCTCTTATTTATTTAAATCATATTATGGGGGCTCGTACAGCTAACGCCGGCCTTTTTCACTTGCACCATCCTCTGCCTCGAACGTGCCACCTCCGCGTCTCTCAGGTGGCTCTAAGTGCCAGCTCACTATCACTTACTCTGTATTTTGCTCAAGACATTTTTAAAAATATGACGTAATCTTACTCGTTGGCTTATTTATTCGCTCCACCCTATTCCCCACCCCCAGTACGTGTAACTGGCATCAGTTAAGGATGACTCATAGCTGCCCTCTGAGCAGAGTAAGCTCCACAGCCAATAACCCACTGCCTTCCGGTGGATTCCATTGAAAGTGACCTTATAAGGCAGAATTGCCCCATAGGGCTTCCCAGGCTGGAAATCTTTGCAGGAGTAGAAAGCCCCATCGTTCCCTTATGGAGCCAATGTGGATTCGAACTTCTGACCTTGCGTTTAGCAGCTCAACCTGTAGCCCACCGCGCCACCAGGGTTCCTGATAGCAAATACAAGTAAAACAAACTCACTGCCATCGAGTCCATTCGGACTCATAGAGACTCCATAGGGCAGGGTAGAAGTGCCCCCTGGGAGTTTCCAAGACTGGACCTCTGAGAAGAAAGCCCTGTCCCTCTCCCCCAGGGCGGCTGGTGGTTTCGAACTGCAGACCAACGTGTAACTACTACAACACCAGGGCGCCGGTCAATAGCCAATACAAACTTTTTAATTTTGTATTCGTGCCTGGTGCCTGGACCAGTAACTGGTGCCACACGGGCACTCAGTATTTGCTGAATAAATGAATGGTCCCCATGCCAGAGATAAGACTGAGGACAAGTGCAAGGCTTGTCCCAAATCTTTCAGGAACCTGGGAAATCCAGCCCAGGAGCCTCAATCTCCCTCCCAGAACAATGCTGTTTCGCCGGTCAGGCCGAGTCCCACACACCCCCAGGTTGGCTGCTCCCAACTGCGCTTTATTTTTAGCCAGGAAAGCGTGCTCGGGACAGCACACGTGCCCATAAGCGGCCCTCGGCCACAAATACGTTCCCGTTCCCAGTGCTGGACTCGCGCTCCTCTCCAGGCTGGGTGCCTGCCCGGCGCAGAACCACAGCCCGGCCTCTCCCGGCCCCCGCTCGCCCTCTGCCGGGCGCGCCCCGCAGGCCGCGGGTCTGGCACCTCACCCGCCTCACCCCCAGGAATTGAGAATTGTATCCCATAGCATCGGGCACAGTGGACATTAAAATAAGATAAGATGAGAAAAGCTTTTCTAAATCCTAAGGCAAGGTGGTGAATGATTAAAAAATGAGTGACTACCATCAGTCTCTTAAGAACCAATTTACCTACGTCATGCAGGCCCTAAACTCAGGGGTGGCGGTAGAGATTAGAGTCGCAGACCCTGCATCCGGAGGCTAGTAGATCTCACAGTGTGAGAAAACTTGTGGTCGTAACAGGGGAAGCTCCGGTGTGGACCGGTTGGGAAGGGGTCGGTTTCTAGTAAGGACTACAGTTAGGTCAGGAGACCAGGAGACAGAGGAATGTAAACCGGGTAAATGACATGCAGGCCAGAAACAGCACCCTGTAAAGCAGTCACGTGCTTTCTGACCTCATGAAATTAGCAGAGATGCAATGAACGGCCTGTTCAGCCAGAAGGTTTATGCAAGTACACTTCTGGTCATTTAACACCCCCTCCCCGCCCCTCTAGTTTCAGGCATCGTAGGGAAAGGCTTCCCCTTTTTCTGTTACGCCCTATCTGTTTGCTCCGGCCCACCTAAAGGTGTCCCTCACCCGCCTGGCTTCACTGTTTTTTATCTGCTTTCCATTCAAGTGCCAACCAGGCCTGACTCTGCTCAGCTTCAGGGATGAAAGGAGAAAAACCTGGGGGTTCTTCTCTTCGCCAGCCATATCGCCCCCGCCCCTGGCTTCAGTGGCTACCCAAAACTGATGTGTCCAACACCTCTCCTCTCCCTTGTGCTGGCTGCACTTGGCTTCAGCAGTCACACTCCACCCAGTCTTCTGAAACTCAGCAGGCTCACAATTCAGCGCCTCTAGTTTCTCCGCTCTCTTATGCCATCACCACTCAGCCCCAAACAACCATGCTTTAATGCTCATTCCTTATTTGTCTTTTTTTAATCGTGTTATTTTATTTATCACAATCCATACATACAGCAATTGTGTCAAGCACATCTGTACCTTCATTGCCCTCATCCTTCTGAAAACATTTGCTCTCCACCTCAGCCCCTGGCATCAGCTCCTCAGTGTTTCCCCTCGCTTCCTCCCTTGTCTTAAGAGTCTCTCCATATGCCCAGGCTCAGCAAAGGTGAACATTTATGGTCTCAAATTGAGATAAGATTTGAAAGATAGTATCACCTGTGCCCCCCAGCAAACCTTGCCCCAACTCTCTCAATGCAGCCTAAATCAAAGTTTACTTTTTCTCTCCTCTGATACCTGCTTGAGTTCTTTCTTTCTTTCTGTCTGTCTGTCTTTCTTTTTTCCGAATTATTTCTCACATGGACTCTAAACTGTAACAGACAGAAGAAGCCTGGTGGGTATAGTGAGCTACACACTGGGCTGCTAACTGCAAAGTCAGCAGTCCGAACCCACCAGCTGCTCCTCAGGGGAAAGCTGAGGCTGTCTACTCCTATAAAGGCTGACAACTTCTGAGACCCGAAGGAGCAGGCCTGCTCTATCCTACGGGGTTGCTAGGAATCGGGGTGGGCTCAATGGTGACTCAGTAGCAATGATGGGTGCTACAGAATGTTCCAGAGTTTCTTTTTCTCCTTCCCAGTTCATTCCTTCTTATTGTCATTCCGGGCCATCACGTTGGTTCCCCTGGTTGCATCCCATGTACAACAGAAGGAAGCACCGCCCTGTCCTGTGCCTTCCTCACAAATGCAGCTGTGTGAGCCACTGGGTCAGTCTGTTAGTTGGAGCGTCATCCTCTTGTTCACCGAGCCTCTTCTTCACAGGCCCGGTGTCCTTCTCCAGGACCCGCTGCCTCCTGAGAACATGTCCAAAGTATAGAAGAAGTCTCTCCGAACCTCCTTTATGAGGAGTGGTCTCACCGTCCTTTTTCCAAAACAGATTTGTGCATTCTTCTGGAAGTTCACGGTTCTGTCAGTCCGAGTTGACTAGAGAAACAAATCCAGGGACACTCATGTGTGCAAGAGAGAGCTTTATACCAAAGAGCCATTGCATATTAAGAAAACATCCCAGCCCAGACCAGATCAAGTCCATAAGTCTGATATTAGCCCGTATGTCTGATACCAGTCTATAAATTGCTCTTCAGACTCACACAGCACATGCAATGATGCCAAATGCAGAAAGATCACAGGCCAGTGGGTGGGAAGTCTTGTGGATCCAGTGGTGGTGGAAGCATCTCAGCACTGGCGTGGGTCTCCATGTGGCTCCCCCAGGTCCAGGGCTCTGGCTGCCATCAGTGTGACTTCATGGGACTTGTCAACAGGAATGTCTAGCAGAGAGAGTGTATGTCATGCCTCCAGGGAGGAAGGCAGGAGTTGCCAGAATCCTCATGAGAAGGCCACGCCCACAAGGAGGGATCAGTCAGACTGTGGCCTGATTGACAGGCTAGACTCCACCCCTT